TAGATATTTTTTATGGCTTTCAGTGCCCCTAGCACGAGATCATCGAACTGCACTTGAATTAAGAGGTTCACTTCACTGCTGGTATGCTTTAGGACTCTTCACTGAATGACGACTGACTAGCGGATTCAGGGAACGAAGATGGCCCTCTACCTACATCTATACTGGACTCCTGACTGTTAAGAAACTTTTTCTTTTTTCGATTTTGAGTTCTTTTTAGAAGAGAGAAAGAGTAGAAACAAAGGGTACGCTCTCTAGAAGATTTGCTCGGAGCTGTTCACTTTCACTCGGTCGACTGGTATCTTGAAACCTCTTCGCTTGCGGGGGCAGGAGTGGAAACGTCTGAGAGAGCGCTTCGCGAAAGAATCGTGTGGCGCGGTGAAGGGTTCCCGTTGGGGTTTCCGGCTCTCCTGGTCTCCACCTACTTGTGGAAGAGGGGGGTGAGTTGATATTAAGGTGTCAAGGCGCTCGAAGAAGGCCACAAGTGGAAGCAACCGATGCTTTGGTCATTCAGTTGACTCCTTGCTGCCAGTCCGTGCTTGCTGTCATGCTGGCAAAAGCGGGGCTTTCGGTCGGTTTTACCTACTATTGGATTTGAACCAAGTCCGTGATACTCTAACCGCTGAGTCAAGTAGGTCAAGCTGAGTCAAGTCAGAGAAAATAGACCCCTATAAGTATAAGAGAAAGCCGCGCAACCAAAGTTCCCCTTACTATACAAGGGGGGGCGGAGCGCTAAGAAAGAGAAAGCGTTATCACTATACGAAATGAAGCAGCGGCTAGCACGCTAAGCTAAGATCAACCACTTGGAGAACGCGGAGCCTTTCTTTCTCGGTCGTCTGTCTTAAGAAGTTAAGCGGATTCCGATTCATGTGGTCGTTCTCTGCTGCATTGGTGTTTTCACTCCCCACTCTCCACCAGAACAAAATGTTTCCACTATATCTCAGGAGTAGTCAAAGGAAGTACGGCGGGTCCGAGTAGGAAAAAATGAACTAAGAAGTAGGGCATAGAACAATGGATCAATTCATTCAACAAGATCCGTTCGGATCAGACCAGGATGAATGGGATTGGTTTGACCTCTCGCTCGGAATTCACCCGCCGCCGACAGATGTCCCATGCCACGTTTCGTGAACAGCTATGCCCGAGAATGAATGAATTGTGATATAGCGCCGAATAAGTCACAGCTCTATTCCCGACTTGAAATCCATAAAGGACTTTAAGGGAGAGAAAATGGGGGGCCCTAAAATGCCTCGGGACGACTGCACGTTACATCATAGCAGCACGACCAAATGGAGGCGGAAAGCCGGTTGGGCGCTAGCGCTTTATATTATACTAATATAATATGAATTCAATTAAGTTAAGGGCTTTTCCCTTATTAGTAAAGTTGCTCGAGGCCGGAAAATGAGAATACAATCTAGAAGATCTGGTCGAATGGTAGAAGAATCTATGGATTCGTTAGGAATCGATAGTCGTTGGCTGGACATACGAGTCACAACCGGCCGGGAAGAGGAGGGATCAACGACGGAGCTACTAGCTACTAGTTGTAAAGGAAAGGACAAGACCACCTTTCGTACATTTCTACTGGTCCAGACATTCGAATAGCGAACGAAAGACCAGGAGATTGGATCTAGAAAGCACTTCCAGCAGGGTTGACGGCTGTGTGGTCCTCATTCAGCTGGAAGTAGGAAAGAAATCCCGGCACGACCGATGACTTAGTCTCCTTCTCCGCTTCGACTCAACCACCTACCTAACCTCTTAGAAAAGATCCGATAGATAGCAGCTACCTAACTTTTAAGCCCTTCACCAATCAAGGTCTTTCATCTAGTAAGTCCTAGTACTATGTTCTCCAAGCTTGACTAATAGAGTAGGCAGGCCTTTAGAGAGCAGTAGAATGTTGGGTTAGCTCTGCCTTTAAGTGATAGGGGGTGAGGGGAACTGCTCAGAAATGTCTTAGTTGGTTGAGGAGTGACCGATCCGGTCAGTCAAAAAATAGTAAAAAAAAAGAAAGTCTGTCTGGTCTGGTGTAGCTAATGTGACTTTCTCGATCTATAGTTCTTCTTCTTTCTCTCTCTTGACCAATGCTCTGGCTTCCCTCACTCAAAAAATCAGCCGTTGTGACACAGGTGTCTCGAGGTAGGCCGTGGATTGAATAGAGAAAGAAGGGCTAGAAGAGCATCCATAGGAAGAAGAGGACGGAAGAGTAGTGCATCTGTGTCTACTCACTCCGGTGGGATTCCAAGATGAAAAGGGATCAATCCAATTACAGCTGTCAGCTAGATAGACGAAACGAGGGCATATCCAGACGTTTCAGTGGTTTCCATTTCGATGGTGACATTAACATCCTTTACCATCTTAGTAGAATCTTAACTCAACTCGGGAGAGGAAGAATCCACTCCCTGAGAAAGAAGGAAGTGCTTGCGCCTTAGGAATCTTGCGCTAAGGCTTGAACTTGCTGCATTCTAGTTTCCAGGAGCGCACTGGAATTTGATCTTTCAGTCGTTCATTCTTCAAGGCATAATCTTTCGTGACAAGCGGAAGACGGAGGAGCAGGCAAGAAGAGCAAGTATAGTGAAAGTATCCTCATGGGCCAAACAAAAAGAGGTTGAGCCCCAACGTCAAATTAATGCATTGATTCAAGGGGTACCCGTGCAAACATCGTCTATCTCTCTGGTCAAGTGGCTCCGCTCTTAGGGAGAGAATCTACGGATTCTGTGAAAGGGCTTCCCTATCTATGATTGAGCTCTCGCTCTTACTCTTTCTATCAGTCGTGTTTTTTCTTTTCTCTCTGACCGTCAACTTGCTTGATTTACTAACCTCGTGTTCTCATCCACTTTAAGGTCAGGTCGAAGCAAAGCGTTTTCCTTCCTCTTCCTATCGGAAAACAAGAACCCGCCAGCTAACTTCTCTCTAGTGGGCTTCACTTGTACGCTATCCTTCCTGACCTTACCTCGACTCTACTCTCCAAGCTCACTGCTCGACGCTCGCCTGACATATCGGTCTGAAGTTTCTTTGATCACTTAGGACAGACAATCTTTCTAAAAAAGAAAAATCTCGTAATATAGTTCAAGAAAGTGGCTGTGACGTGAATTGCATTGTGCTCATCAACGTGTAAGATGCACCATGCTGAATGAGAGAATGACATTCCCTTTCAATTGAGATATTGCGTATGATAAGAGAGATAAAGGTTCCTTTTTTTCCGGTATGCTGCTCCGCGAGCAAGGAGCGATAGAAGCTAGTATTCTGTAATGAATAACAAGAGTCTGGCACTATAGGGGAATCCAACACCTAGTGATTTACATTTTACACCTTATCTTCTAGACTTTCGGTGGAAAAACCAGCCGAGTCTTCCAGCAGGAGTTCCACGCCTTTTTAACCTGCATAAAAAAAAGGAAGTCTTGCGCCGGGCATGATCCCGGTGTCGAGCAGAGCAGAGCGAATTAAAAAATTTGAATGAGAAATCATTTTCAAATGAGACTCTATGGTAGTCCTACGCCAAGTGATCTAGAATTTATGGTAGATGAGGGTTTTTCTTTATCTTCAGGTGGTACGTCTACTACTCTTTCTTCAACTAGGTCGGACGCACAAAGCGCTCCACCTGAGTTAGAGCGGTTATTTGAGATAATCTGCAATGAATACGCGGAGTGGGTGGTGATAGCCGATAAGCAATTACCCCCCAAATGGGACATGCCTGACCTTGTTCGGGCAGTGATAGGGGAGGAAGCGCTAGCCACCCCAAGCTATATGAGCGATGCCTATTATGATGTAATGTTACATGGACAAAATAGTTGGTTATGCCAATCAATTTTGAAGTTTCTTGATCTAATCAACTATGTCTTCTAGTCTGTTTGGAAGGAGAACTCATTTTCATTTCATCTTGTGACTCATTCTCTTCGATCTTCTCTTTGATTGCTTTTGAAAACGTCTTTTTAACTGAACTACAATGGTCTGATTCTTTTGAAGAAGATATGTAGGCAATTCGGCGTATACCCGGATGCGACCCCATCCACTCCCTCCATCCATGGATAAGGATAAAACAACATCTTTCACTGTTTCGTTGGAAAAACCAACGCTCATATTGACTTTCTTTCGCCCTACTCTAAGGGTACTTTAAAGATTTTGATATCTTTTTTTTATATTATATAAAGGCCCCAGAACGCTAAAAGGTGAGGGAACCAGAGTTCTCTTTCTAAAAAAGAAAAAGAAATGACTATAAGGAACCAACGATTATCGATTCTTAAACAACCTATATTCTCCACACTTAATCAGCATTTGATAGATTATCCAACCCCGAGCAATCTTAGTTATTGGTGGGGGTTCGGTCCGTTAGCTGGTATTTGTTTAGTCATTCAGATAGTGACTGGCATTTTTTTAGCTATGCATTACACACCTCATGTGGATCTAGCTTTCAACAGCGTAGAACACATTATGAGAGATGTTGAAGGGGGCTGGTTGCTCCGTTATATGCATGCTAATGGGGCAAGTATGTTTCTCATTGTGGTTCACCTTCATATTTTTCGTGGTCTATATCATGCGAGTTATAGCAGTCCTAGGGAATTTGTTCGGTGTCTCGGAGTTGTAATCTTCCTATTAATGATTGTGACAGCTTTTATAGGATACGTACCACCTTGGGGTCAGATGAGCTTTTGGGGGGCTACAGTAATTACAAGCTTAGCTAGCGCCATACCCGTAGTAGGAGATACCATAGTGACTTGGCTTTGGGGTGGTTTCTCCGTGGACAATGCCACCTTAAATCGTTTTTTAGTCTTCATCATTTACTCCCCTTTCTTTTAGTAGGCGCCAGTCTTCTTCATCTGGCCGCATTGCATCAATATGGATCAAATAATCCATTGGGTGTACATTCAGAGATGGATAAAATTGCTTCTTACCCTTATTTTTATGTAAAGGATCTAGTAGGTTGGGTAGCTTTTGCTATCTTTTCTTCCATTTTTATTTTTTATGCTCCTAATGTTTTGGGGCATCCCGACAATTATATACTTGCTAATCCGATGCCCACCCCGCCTCATATTGTACCGGAATGGTATTTCCTACCGATCCATGCCATTCTTCGTAGTATACCTGACAAAGCGGGAGGTGTAGCCGCAATAGCACCAGTTTTTATATGTCTGTTGGCTTTACCTTTTTTTAAAAGTATGTATGTACGTAGTTCAAGTTTTCGCCCGATTCACCAAGGAATATTTTGGTTGCTTTTGGCGGATCGCTTACTACTAGGTTGGATCGGATGTCAACCTGTGGAGGCACCATTTGTGACTATTGGACAAATTTCCCCTTTTGTTTTCTTCTTATTCTTTGCCATAACGCCCATTCTGGGACGAGTTGGAAGAGGAATTCCTAATTCTTACACGGATGAGACTGCCTGAAAAGTGAGAAATTCTGACACCCATCATTTTCGAGTGAGTATTACACCAAGAATTGACAAGCCTTTAGTTGTACGTTTTCTATTTCTTACGTGACTTTGATGAAAGAAAGCATTCCGGGAACATGAATAAGAGTAAAGGCCTTCCTTGTCATTGTAGTAGGCTTGTTTGCAAGAGAGAAGAAGCAGCTTCAACGATGCAATCAGACCTGTGAGAGTAAGCATGAGAAGCCAGTCTGTCTGCAATTGAGTTGCCTTGTCTATAGATGTGAGAAACCATCATGCCAGAAGACAATAAGCTGATGCATTCTCTGATCAAGTAAAGCACATGTCAAGGGGTGGATATAAGACCAAGGATGGAGTCCACCATAACTTTGGAATCAGATTCGATGTCATTCACTTGGATGCCCTTATCAGAACATAGTTTGAACCCATCTCTGAGAGATCTAGTCTCAGCCATCATGTTAGTACCATTGTGATAGAATGAAGAGAAGGAAAAAATAAAAAATTTGACCTGAACTCTTTCTCAGGATACCACCACCTGCACTCTCTCCCATAGTAGCTGATCCATCTATGTTGAGTTGGTACATTTTGGGGGAGGAGGATTTGATCCATATCCCGCTTTTATTTCCCTTCGGGCTCCTTATTCCGAGGCTGTTCTTTATCACGGCTCTTCTGAGGCTTTCCAACCAACCCTGTTGACTCGGAGTATTCAACCCCCCATTCGCCTAGCCATCAGATTCCTCCGCTACCATCTTCGCTTTTGGCTCCTTGTCATTTGATCTGGGGGAATCAACCTCGAAGAAGGGAGCCTAGGAGCGTAGTTTGGCCTGTGTTCAAAATTAAATGCTCAAATTCCAGCTTCAAGCGTTCTGCAGCTCATAATCATATTATGGAAAAGGAGGCGTGGGAAAACGGCACCAATTCTGTCCAATAACATCAAAAACCTCATTTTTTAGTCCTTCGGCCTTCGCAAACAAACAGTCCGGCCAACCCAAGTAATCCCCCATAACATCAATCAGTACCGCAAAAGGCTAAAAATCTGACTAAGTCTCCAGCAGCTGCGGAGCGGGGGATAAAGGAACAGCAGGATTACAACATTGCACAGGATCAATCAGAATGCGGGAGCGCAGAGCCTTTAAGAGATAGGGGGTGCGGGAGCATAATACTTAATACTAAGGATTCCCCGCGGTTTTTCATGCAGATTTAACCACGGTGTGCACCCCCCTTAACTTAACCCCTATTACGTAAAGGGGGACCTTCGGCGGGATAAAAGAGAGTGCGGGAAAAGCAGCTACAGATACAGGACAAAAGAAGGAGTGGCACACTTAAAGAGTAAAAAAATCCATCGTAGCGCAAAAGAGCATCCCGCAGAAAGAGGATCCCGCGGAAAGTTTCCACTTTTCTGTCCAGCTGCAAAATGGAATGGAATAGTATAAGATGCTTAATAGCTCCAACAAGCGCGAAAGCCGTTGCTTCTTGCTTTCGAGCCCAAGCCTACGTTTGCTTAGTAAGGTTGCTTCTTTTTATATCTCCTCAAAAAAATAAAGGCGAAAGGTTGCTTGCTTTACTTTGAGAAAGAAGTAGAAAGAAGGTATTATATAATAAATAAAAGTAAAAAGCGCTAACGTGCTTTTTTTTTTCAATAAGGGGCGGGAAGAAGCGAGCCTCTTAGAGAAAAAAGTGCTAGTTGTAGCGCGCTAGCGCGCACAAGAGCACGTTTTATAACATCGAGTTACCAATGCGTTTTCGTACAATCAATGCATAATCAACTCATAAGTAACAAATCATATCTCTAGGTTTGAAGACTTATATGATATTACCGTCTCACGATCACTCGAGATAAATTCCATGAAGTGATTCCAGTGAGCGTAGGTTGAGTCCAATGCTCAGAACTTATGAGCACTCATGAATGTTGTAGCCATGTCCAACAACTTAGACCTCTGCAACCAATCATGACAGTCTTGATTCATACCTACTTCCGACATATGACCGACTGTGGAGGTTCGAATAATATGATATACCAAACATAATTATTCTGGAAGTCAAAACATGCAAAAGAAATATAGTAAACGATCGACAAGAGATAGCAACATTTTACTCATAAATAAAACACCTTTTATTCATCATCTAATGTTAATTACACTTTACAAATTTCAAGGTTATCTAACTACTAAATCTAATATCATCCTTCAGCCCTATGCTCCGAGCACGCTGGAGATGCTTAACCCGAGTCAGTCCCTTCGTGAGGGGATCTGCTGGATTCTCATCCGATGATACCCTCTTTGCCACGAGGAGTCCTTCTTCTATTCGATGTCTGATGAAATGGTATTTTCTGTCGATGTGTCTGGATCTCCCGTGATCCCTTGGTTCCTTGGCTAAGGCAACTGCACTTTCACTATCACAGAAAATTTCCATTGGCTCTTTAATAGCTGGTACAACTCCAAGGTCTCCAATGAAGTTCTTCAGCCATATCGCCTCCTTTGCTGCCTCGCTAGCTGCTATATACTCTGATTCGCAAGTTGAATCAGACACTGTCTCTTGCTTGGAACTCTTCCAAGAAATTGCTCCTCCGTTTAAGGTAAAGACCCAGCCTGACTGAGAGCGGAAATTATCCCTATCAGTCTGAAAGCTAGCATCACTATACCCTACAACTCTCAAGTCGTCACTCCCACCGAGGGTAAGGACCCAGTCCTTAGTCCTCCGTAGGTACTTGAGGATATTCTTTACCACAGTCCAGTATGCCTTGCCAGGGTTCCCCTGATACCTGCTAACCATGCTCAAAGCAAAGGCTACATCAGGTCGAGTACACGTCATAGCATACATGATCGATCCTACAGCTGAAGCATAAGGTATTCGACTCATTTCTGCTATCTCAGCCTCAGTACTAGGGCTTTGTGTTTTACTCAATCTGGCGTTACTCTGGATGGGTAACTCTCCTTTCTTGGAGTCCTGCATGCCGAATCTCTTCAACACCTTATCCAAGTAGGTACTCTGACTAAGTCCAATTAGTCTTTTACTCCGGTCTCTCAAGATCCTTATCCCTAGAATATAGGCAGCTTCTCCTAGATCCTTCATAGAGAAACACTTCCCAAGCCAGGACTTAACTTCCTGCAGAGTTGGGATGTCATTTCCTATGAGTAGTATGTCATCCACATACAATACCAAAAAGCTAACTATACTCCCACTAGCCTTGACATATACACAAGATTCATCTTCACTCCTAGAGAAGCCAAATTCTTTGACTTTCTCATCAAAGCAAAGATTCCATCTGCGAGGTGCTTGCTTTAACCCATAAATGGATTTCTCAAGCTTACACACTCTATTAGGGTACTCTGTATTGACAAAACCCTCTGGCTGACTAATGTAAACATCCTCAGCCAACTTTCCATTAAGGAAAGCGGTTTTGACATCCATTTGCCATATTTCATAGTCATGAAATGCAGCTATGGCTAACAGAACCCTAATAGACTTAATCTTGGCCACTGGAGAAAAGGTCTCATCATAATCAACTCCCGGAGTTTGTGAGAAACACTTTGCAACCAGTCGTGCCTTATAAGTGTGTACATTACCATCCATGTCGGTCTTCTTCTTGAAGATCCATTTGCACCCTACAGTCTTACGACCTGGTACATTCTCAACCAAGTTCCAAACTTGATTGTCATACATGGACTGTATCTCGCTGTCCATTGCCTCTTTCCACTTGGCTGACTCAAGGCCTGCCATGGCTTCCGCGTAACTGTTAGGTTCATCCAGACCTATCAGTGTCTCATCACTGATAAGTGTATCACCTTCCGCAGTAATATGGAATCCATAGTAATGCTCAGGTGCATTCCTAACCCTTGTGGAACGCCTCAGAGGTACAGACTTGTCAATTGGCTCAACAGGAGTTTCTTCCTCAAGTTGAGTGCTAGGGCTTGAAGTTCCTTCACCACTTGACTCTTGAATTTCTTCAAGGTCAAGTTGCCTCCCACTGTCTCCTTGGCTTATGAACTCTCTCTCTCTCGAAAGAAAGCCCTCCAAGCTACAAAGACCACATTCTCACTAGGTCTGTAGAAGAGGTAACCAAAGGATTTCTGTGGGTAGCCGATGAAAATACACCTCTCACTTCGAGGTTCGAGCTTATCATGAGTCTCGCGTCTCACGAAAGCCTCACAACCCCAAATCTTAATGTGGTCTAGTTTGGGTACTTTACCAGTCTACATCTCATGAGGATTTTTGGCAACTTTCTTTGTGGGGACTAGATTAAGGATATGGGCGGCAGTCTCTAAGGCATACCCCCAAAATGAGATTGGTAGCGAAGCTCGACTCATCATGGAACGAACCATATCCAACAAGGTTCGATTACGCCTCTCCGCTACACCATTCAACTGCGGTGTCCTGGGAGGTGTCAATTGTGAGACAATCCCACATTCCCTAAGATAGTCGAGGAACTCTGAACTAAGATACTCACCACCTCGATCGGATCGAAGCATCTTAATGTTCATGCCCAATTGATTCTCGACTTCCTGTTTAAACTCTTTAAACCTCTCAAAAGTCTCTGACTTATGCTTGATTAAGTAGACATATCCATATCTATTGTAATCATCAGTAAAAGTCAAATAATAACGATTAGCATCCCTTGTGGTATGTTTGAAGGGCCCACACACATCCGTGTGTATAAGATCCAACAAACCTTCACCCCTCTCACAAGAACCTGTGAAGGGTGACTTTGTCATTTTTCCAAGTAAGAATGATTCGCAACTATCATCTGACTTTAGGTCAAATGACTCCAAGACTCCATCATTTTGGAGTTGGCCTATGCGTTTCTTGCTTATATGTCCAAGAAGACAATGCCATAATGATGCTTTATCCAAGTTATTATCATTAACAGAATCAATACACAATACATTATTTCCTAAGTTATCAACCACAGATACAGTTTGATACACACCATCACAAGGTAATGCTTTAAAATAAAGAACATTATTAAAGAAAGCATTAATCGAACCAACTTCATTATCA